CATTACATGATTTATAATGTAAAATTTAATAAATAAAATAAAAGATATGGTTATCAATGTAAAAATTAATAAAGTGCGTACACATTTTGGAAATAACACTTCAATTTTTCAAAAATTTATTTTTTTAGGTTTCTATAATAAATTTAGTGAAAGAGATTGTTAGTAGAAAGATGAAGATTTCAAATAGAATAAACTTTTTATTTTTTATTTTTTTATGCCTTGCATATTATTTACAAAAATAACTTACCACTATATACAACAAAAATTAACTGCTATACAAAAAATTAACTTTTTTATTTTTTATGCCTTTTATATTATTTACAAAAATATTTATACCACTATATACAACAAAAACTACTATACAACTAAAATGCAAAAACTACTATACAACTAAAATGCAAAAACTACTATACAACTACAAAAATATACAACAAAAACTACTATACAATTACAAAAATATTTATACCGCTGTCTCGCCGCATGTGATTATAAGTTGCTGATTAATAGAATATATTTACATTCCATTTTCGTTTAATGATGTTTGAGAATTATCCCACATCGAAAGATGGGTATTCAACTTTGGTATATAAATACCTATGTAATATGACTTAAGGTAATCGTGCGGAAACATTGGGGCAACCTCACACGTGATTTTGTCGCACCTGTCCGTGTTCGTATACACGTGTCCACTTGTTGCACGTGTTGGAGTGGTGACGTTAGAAACGCCGGTTGATGATGTCATCGGGCGGTTTACTATTTAAAACCACCCGGTTCTCTCTAAACACGGGTGGTTCCCGTTTTATGTGTGGAACCGGCTCGTTCTGTGGCGATTTTCGAGTTGAATCGGGCGAGTCCGGTTCGACTTGGCATTTTTTAAAACCCTGGTATGAGCCATTATTTTTCAACTTCAGTCTCCATCACTCAAAAGACCTAATTGGGAGGATTTTTTCAGTCTGAAATTTTGGGAACCACCTAAAAATCACTAAATGATTACTCTGTAAAGAAAAAAAATTAAATTTTGAGTTTTTTTGACTCCTGGATCTCGCCCTTCAAAAATTGGATCGTCTATGTTCAATCTTCTGATATTATATTCTTCTAGTACACAGAGGTTCCAATTCAGCCTTTTTCTTATGAGCTTAGTCTATAAGTTGAAGAGGTCATATCCCAAAATTTAGAGTCCTAAAATTGCACCTATATTGGATTTTGTATGGGGGAGTAAATAGATTCTATAATCCTCCAAGAGTATAAAATCTTTTGGCTTTGTTGAAGGTTGAAAAACTTGGTGTATTATTACTCCTTGGCTTTTCCAATTACTGAACCTTGTAAAGCGACTCTCATGGCCTAAATCACGTTTATAAAGGTTAGAGCCAAAATGGATGTGTAGCAATGCTTATCACGTTTCTATGACTTTAAATGGAGAGAGAGTGCAAAATAATAACACTACGAAAAAAGGAGAACTCTCTCTAACTGTTTTGAAAAGCTTTTATACAAGTATATAATTGAACTGTTTCATTTTGGTACAAAAAAGTCATAATAATTTTTAGTTATTAAATATGAAATCGGGCAATTGGGAATTCTACTGACAACCATGCATTCCTAATCATAAGTTTTCAAATTTGATGTCTAATAGTGATTATGACCATTTTTTTATTAAAATTAGTGATCATGTAGCATATAATATGTACCATTTATTATTGTCAATTCCACATATCTTTGTTCTTCAAGTAAAGCATATCTCGTCAAGGAGAATATCTTAATGATCCATATAATCATAGGAACAACATGGTCATGAGGTTCATCACCGTCCCAATGTGGGCAAAGGAGGTAGAGTCTATCCACCAAGTAGGTTGCTACTATGGTGTGAGGTGTAAAACCTATTATCACGCATTGCTATAATGATCATGACTGATACCTTATTTTTGCTTCTTTCTTCTTTATCTTTTTTTATTTTACGAACATGTCTCTTTTGAATGTTTAATTTGAAACCATAATAGGAATGTAACTTTGGATGTCATATTGTGCCACTTGCCATCCTAATCGTCAAAGCCCAGATTGTCTCTTTATAGTAGTTTGCATGCTGCTTTTTATTATGTATTATTATTATCATATTCACTTGACTTCTGCGTCTTCAATCAAACCATTCAATTTTTACATCCAAACATAAACCCAAGAATCATTGCTCATATATTTCAATGTATAGGTATTAATTTCAAAAGGGGCAATCAAGTAGTCACAGTTTGGTAAAGTTGCATCTACAATATTAAAAATTCAAAATAACTAACTTAGTGATGTTTGAGATTTCGAAAACATATTTCACATAGAATATATTAAAATTATTTAGTAGTAAATATTTCGAATATCTTTCTGTTTTTTTTTAAATTACCTCAAGCTCTTCTCGCTCGAAGTGAAGTGAATATGATAACATCTTCTCGCTCGAAGTGAAGTGAATATGATAACATCGGTGTGAAGTATGAAACAACAAATTTGTCATGTGAAAGCAATTTCGAAATCGATAATTCTTCCAAAACATTTAAAGAGTTCACATTATCGTTTTCACAAACAGCCATATATCCCATTCTACACGTTTCTGTAAATCTCCAAACGTGGGGTCCACTTTGCTTACTAAACGCAATGCATGTTCTGTTCATGAGAAACATCTAAATTGTGTGAGCACGCAAAGCCACCAACGTATTCGACGGGCAGTGTGTGTAACATGTGGGAGATAGTGGCTTTCCGGGCCACTGAGGCTCTAAACAATCAAATTAGAGCCCACCTTCAAATAGTGTCGAAAAATGTGATTTCAATACTGAAATTTTTTTACTAGTTTTAAAATATATTTTCATCATTAATTATAAAATTTAAAGCTTCAAAAATAGTGTAGACCGAACAGATCTATGAAAATTTGATTAACTTAAAAGTTGATGGTCCAAAAATACATTACAAGATGCACTATTTCCAAAATTTGAAATCCTTTTTTTTCTCAAATATATGCATCTTGATGTCAAGATGATCAATTTGAAGATATTTAGGCATCAAAACAACCTTTTCTAGTGGAATTTTTGAAGTAGGCTCTAATTTGATTGTTTAGAGCCTAGGCTCGACATAAATTGTTCCCTAAAAAAAAATCTCATTTTATTATCAACATTAAAAAATAGTATATTTTATGAGATTGTCTACCAAAGGATCTTTTATCTTTTGAACATGAAGGTCACAATTATTCTTGCCCTTTAAATTTAAAGTCCCAAATTTTGATATTGGTTATTGTATTTTAATTTTCATCTATTTTCTTAATGGTTGAGTTCAAATCTAGGAAATTGATACTTCTCCAGTCCCACAATTATGAAAAATACCAAAAATATATTTTAAAATAAAATAGTAAAAATATCCTAAAATTTTGAAATTTTGTTGGAGTATTTAACTTAATTATTATTTTAAAATAATTTTTTTAACAATTCTATTATGCCCAAAATTTGAGCATATATGTATATATAGTAAAAATAATAATAATTAAAATACAGTATTCAGGACACAAGAATAAAATGTAGATGCGGTTTGTATAGAGGCGAGGCTCCAAACAATCAAAGTAGAACGTACCTTCAAACAATGTCGAGAAATGTGGTTTCAATACTGGGAATCTTTGTTATAGCCTTAAAATATATTTTCATCTTTAATTATGAAATTTAAAACTTAAAAAATAGAGTAGATCGAGTAGATCTATGAAAACTTCAAAATCTTCAAAATTGACAGTCCAAAAATTCGTTATAAGATGCACTATTTTTAAACTTGAAATCCATTTTTTTCTCTTGTCCATGAATCTTGATGTCGAGATGATCAATTTGAAGATATTTGGGCATCAAAACAATATCTTCTAGTGAAATTTTTGAGGTGGGTTCTATTTTGATTGTTTAGAGCTTCGGCTCTATATAAACTCTTTCCATAAAATATAAGATATATGAGTCCGTTTTTTAATTTTGAAAATTAAAAGGAATGTTTCTATTAATTGCCCCCCAAAAAAGAGGGAAACCATTTGGAAATTAAAAGGGGGAACAAAAACCAATAGATTGTGTGCTTTAATAGGAGCAAATCTTAGATTTGTATAAAACTTGTATATATTTTCTATGTTTAGTTTGTTGGGTTGGAGTCCAAAATATGGGTTCTCCAAATAAATTTAGGGTCCGGGTCGGTATCCAAACGGCTTCACCCCTACTCTTGAAACTAAATTTAGAAAATGTAGGTAAGATAATGAATAATCTACCTTTATTGCTTTCTCATAAATATCCTTTACAGGAGGAAGTACTCATGTGAAATGAATATTAGTCATTTTATTGATAAATTAGTCAGTCGGACTACTTTGGCCAATTTTTGATGCAATTCGGCCATCATTGACATTATTCTACAAAATTTATGGTACAATCTTTAACAAAAGGTGATATTTTAATAAAGTACCCACGTTAATAAAGCATATGTTTGAATTTTTTTAGAAGTTGTAGTTTTGATATTTTTAAAATTTTAAAAATATATAAAAATCTTGAAAATAGACCATCCAAATAATTTGTTGTAAAGTATATTATTTTTAAAATTTAAAATTATTTTTTTCTTTATACTCATACATTTCGAGAAAATCAATTGAAAAATTTTCTAACTTGAAAACGATATTTTCTAGTGTTTTTTTTAAAGCTTATAAAATTTTTCCTATACAAACAGGATAAAACTCTAATTCACTATCCTCCAAATAAGGAATCTAAGGACCTAAAAGCTATATCTGAAAACTCCAAAGGTAAAAACAGTAAAATCCATCTACCTTTGTCTTTTGTAATAACCGAAATCTTTTCTTTCTCTAATTTTGCAGTAACAAAGAAATCCACACGAGAATTACCATGTTCCACGTGTCTTATCGTATATCTGACATGTGGACCTTATCCTTTTCATCCACCGTTGATTTATCGCGACAGATGTGAAATGCCTCGAGGAATATTCAGAGCGCAAAAAGCCAGAAGAAGAAAAATGGTGCTTAAATAAAGTACTACTCCACCGCAGCTTTAGACCATAAAATTTCAACCCTAATTTCACAAACTCTAATTTAGTTCTCTCCTCTTCATTTGGAGGTCATTTGTGGCCCTAGTTTCACTGATTTTATGTGAAATTTACTTAAAATTTGAGGCCATTTCCTAGCCCTGATTTGACAACTTTCTATGCAATTTGTGGCCGTTTCTTAGCTCTAATTTCACTGGTTTGTGCAACTTCATCTGATATTGAAGCCATTTTCTGAACCTAAATTTGCAAGTTTCTGCAATTTGATCTCTGCAACTGAAGCCCTCTGGTAAGCCTAAGTTCGTCGTTGCTGTAAAAGGTAGAACCTTTACTGTAGTTTCACGAAATGATCCAATTTACGCTGTTCTTTAGTCTTATTTCAAGAAATTCCTGTGATTTCTTCTATGCGAATGCAGGAGCTCAGATAAGGGACCTCTGTGATTAAAGATCGGAGTTTTTATTCTAATTGAGACAGGCCTGCAACTTCTTCTTTGAATCTGCTTTTCTCTCCTCGATAATGGCGGTTTCTCTTGGTCTCTTCGGCGTCACTAAAGGGCCTAGGGTTTCTACTCCTGCGTTTGAGTCATTTCAGAGTGTGAACTCTGGTAAATTGGTCGTTGGAGCGAGGACCTCTGTATCTGTGCGGTGCCATGGAAGTGATACAGCAGCTGCTTCTGTTCAATCTGCTTTCGATACGAAGATTTTCAGGAAGAATTTAACGAGGGGTGAGAACTACCATCGCAAAGGATTCGGGCGCAAGGAGGAAACCCTAGAGCTCATGAACAAGGAGTACACCAGTGAGTTTCTCTCTCTCTCTCTTGATAGTTCTCTCTGCTCCTTCGGTTTCTCGTTCACGCATGTACATGCACTTGCATCGGTTGAAATTGAGTGTTGTACAGCAGTGAATATTTAACACTCACCCTCTCGCTCTCTTGCATCGGCTCTAATTTGTGAAAATTTGCACCAGTAATATTTAACACTCACCCTCTCGCTCTCTTGCGTCGGTTGTAATTTTTGAAAATTAAATCTCTCTCTCTCTCTCTCTCTCACTCTCTCTCTCTCTCTCTCTCTCTCTTTTACTGAGGCACACATCGACCCAATGCGCGTTTCTAAATCATAGAACTAGAGAACAAAGAAAGATCAATACTTAACCCTCTATACATTATTTTAGGCTATTTTTTCCAATAACTATGCATGTTAATGGATATTTATTTTGAGGTGATGAAATCATTCTAGTATTTTATGTACTGTGATCACCTGATCGATTTGTAGATAATAATTATCATAATGAGAAGAAGGGGGGACAAACCCATGTTTAAAATTTTCTTATTTCTTCATATTTTGCAAAAAAATTTATTTCTCTGGAGGTGGAGGTGATTAACTCGAATAAGCTCCTAAGCCGCTAAACGGGATTAGTTGGGAAGACTTTTGGCTGAGAATCTGTGATCGTCCATTTTGTGCAGTTGAAATATCTCATTACGACCCTTGAAACAAGGCGATGTCGAATGTCTAAACTGAAAACCAATGATATTCTTAGCGGTCTCAAGAACAAAGATCCACAAGATTTACTCTGTTTTCTGTTCCTTTAGTTGCTGCAGATCGCATGATTTGAAGTCCTAGCCCTGCTATTTATGTTCTTAATATTGTTTTTTTTAAAAGAAGAAGAAAAGTATTATAGTGTCATTTAGAATTCAAAATTTCGTGAGAGGTCAGAGTTTGGTTGTTCAAATATCAAAATTTTCTGGAGAAAAATTGTATCAATATTGATTTTTAGCAGAGGCTGATAACTCATATTGAGCTTCTATTCCTTATGAAATTTTCAGGTGATGTGATCAAAACACTAAAGGAGAATAACAATGAATATACGTGGGGCAATGTGACCATCAAGTTGGCTGAATCATATGGTTTTTGCTGGGGAGTCGAACGAGCAGTTCAAATTGCATATGAAGCAAGGAAACAATTCCCTCATGAGAGAATATGGGTCACCAATGAAATTATACATAATCCTACTGTGAACAAGGTATGTCATTTTAGTTTCTTTTGTGTCACACCTGTTATGTTTTCTCCCCCTCCTTTTTTTTTTCTCATCTTGCTCTTAACTCTGTGATTATTCTCTTACAAGAGGAGTCTATTTTTTATTTGTTCTGTTTTGTTTGTGTCTAGAAATTTTTTTTCTTCTTGACAAATTGCATATACAATTCCATTACATGTCATCCATCTTTGTACTTTGCTAGATACAAACAAGCTCACCATATTGGGTACCAACCATAGTCCATTGATTGCAATGTATTTTTTCATTTTGAAATACTATTATCTTGCACTGTAAAGAGTTAGGGGCATTTAATGCTGCTCACCAATGTGTTGTATTTGCATTTGCAGAGGCTCGAGGAGATGGAAGTCAAAAACATTCCTATCAAAAATGGGAAGAAACAATTTGATGTTGTGGAGAAGGGAGATGTTGTCATCTTACCTGCCTTTGGAGCTGGTGTTGATGAGATGTTAGCTCTTAGCGAGAAGAACGTACAGATAGTGGACACAACCTGCCCATGGGTGTCCAAGGTATTGACAGTGACTATTTTTGTCGTCGCTAAACTTTTTGTGTCTTAGTTTCTGTATCTCGTTTATATGCTATTTGAAACTTTGTTTTTATATTTCCATTTCTGAAGTATTGAGACCTATTAGTTTTCTTCTTTTCTTTAGTTTTTAGTATTTGTCGTTGTTTTTCATGACCTGTTTATTTACTCCTTGAAAATAGCTTTTCCTGTTTACGTTTTTGTAGGTATGGAACATGGTTGAGAGACACAAGAAAGATGACTATACTTCTATCATTCATGGCAAATATACTCATGAGGAGACTGTTGCTACAGCCTCTTTTGCTGGGAAGTACATCATTGTGAAGAATATTGCACAGGTAAGGGCTTCCCATTTCCCCCTTCTTTTTGTTACTTCTCCCTTATCCAAGTGGCGTTCTTGTTTGTTGTTCCAAAAGCCTTTTCTGATAATTTCCTTTTTTTTCTTTTTTTTGATATGTGAATTTCTTTGCTTAAAACCAGACAATGTATGTCTGTGATTACATCCTCAATGGTCAGCTGGATGGTTCTAGTGGAACAAAAGAGGAATTCATTGAGGTATGACTCTTGTTGTTTCCCCTCAAACTGTATATGAATTTCTTGAGTATTCGGAAAATGATTCTTTGTATTTCTCTGCAGAAATTTAAGGATGCAGTTTCTCCAGGGTTCGATCCAGATAGAGACTTGTGTAAAGTGGGCATTGCTAACCAAACTACAATGCTTAAGGGAGAAACTGAGGAGATCGGTGAGTAGCTTTTAGAGACATTTCTTGGATCATCTTGTTCATCATTCCTTTTGAAGCATAAGCATCTTAGCATTTACTTCTTAGTGTTTCTTTTTTTTTTCAACTTTCTTCTATTCATGCTTTTGAGCTTTCTTGATTTTGAATTTATCAGGAAAACTGGTTGAGAAGGTTATGATGCGGAAGTATGGAGTGGAAAATATCAATGAGCACTTTGTTGCCTTCAATACCATCTGCGATGCTACACAGGTTTTTTCTTTTATGTTCCTCTTTTGATTGCTTTAGACCCTGTCTTTCTGCAATCTTTTAGGAAACTTGCTATAATACCGGTGGGTTTTGACCATCCAATGGAAGAATGGATAGTGATGGTGGGATTATAGGGTCCACTAGTGTAGGAAAACATGGACTCTTGGTGGAACTCACAAGGGTCCCGAGCCCAAGACATGTCTGACAAACTCGGCCAGGTCGGTCGGAGGCTTGGCCAGGTCTAAGTAAAAAAAAAAAAAAGGGGGGGAAACAGCGGAACTCTGCTGGTTCCCAACTCTGCGTGAGTGCCAAGCCCAAGTAGCTCAGGAAACAAGTGGACTAGCCCCATTTTTCTGAAAATGGGATCAAACCGTTGGGTTCCCCAGTTTTGGTGGTCTCACACTCTGTTCTTCACTATTGATTATTTACTAATGGTCGGGACCACTTTGGATTCCAATTTTCCATGGGATACTTTTCTTTCCACCATGGACTCTGATTTAGTATACTTTTCTTTCCTTTGAAGCTTTCGTTGGATAAATCTAAATCAAGTACTTAGTTCCTCTTTGAATGATCAGCCAATAAGCACAAAAGAAATATGTTGTTGATTTCAGGAGAGACAAGATGCAATGTATGGCTTGGTGAAGGAGAAACTTGATCTCATGCTTGTGATTGGAGGATGGAACTCCAGTAACACTTCCCATCTACAAGAAATTGCGGAGGAGAAAATCCCATCTTATTGGATTGACAGTGAAAAGAGAATAGGACCAGGAAACCGAATATTGTATAAGTTGAACGTAAGTTTCTAATTCTTTGGATCCTTGATAGAATCTCTGGGAATTCAATAGCGATTGTTTTTAAGTGTAACTTTGCGAGTCAAGTGATCTAAGTTGTTTTTTGTTTGTGCAGCATGGTGAATTGGTCGAGAAAGAGAACTGGTTGCCTGAGGGTCCGATCACTATTGGTGTTACATCTGGGGCATCCACGCCTGATAAGGTACTTGGCTTTCTCTATTTGTATCCATATAAAAAAGGGTGTGCCTCTGTTAGATGTCTCATGCTTATAATAACACAATGAATATTTAGAGAGAGAGAGGGAGCAAGGCATAAATTATTGTTGACCCAAAAATGTATTGATGACTGACTCCATAGTTATTATGTCTGGACGGACCCATGGGTCCAACCCCATAGTTGTTAGGATCTCCCAACATAGGTGGTGATCCCGTTCTGGAATCTCGCCCCAATGCTCTTGAAGCAGGGTCTTTAAAAGATGTTAATTTAAATTTTGGGATTTTGATCCCCACTGTTAGAGATCCAGATTCCTACTATTAGAGATTTTAATCAAAACTTTAACAATCAAGATAACAACCAAACTAATGACTTTCTCAAAGTAACGTATATAAAAAGACCATTTACTTTTAGTGCAAGGAGGTAACGATTATTTTTGTCCGTCAGACTTCAAATCGGATGGTTGTAAGAGTGTTATTGACTAGACTCAAAAGTTCAAAAAAAATTCTCGAATTTTGTGATATGCCTCAAGCCATTCAATTTGACATCTAATGGCTGGGAATAATTGTGACCTCCTTGTAACAATGATAAATAGTTTTATAGTATGTGGTCCATTTTTCTAATTTATAGCCAACTAGTAGCACAACTATACTTTTTGTACTTTTAATAGGGATTGTCTACAAAGAGACCATTTATCTTTTGTACATGGGATGAGTCATGAAGTCCAAGAATTTTTTATTTTTTATTGGAAATTTGTGTCTATTTTATAACACTCTTACAACCACTCATTTTGAAATTTAAAGGACAAGAATAATTGTGACTTCCTTGTACAAAAAATAAGTGGTTTTTTTGTAGACAATCCCCTTGCATTGCTTGCTGGCGATAAATAAGATATCCTTATTATAAAGTGTACATATGGTCTTACTTATACATACACTTAAAAGTCTGGAGCAAGATCCCCAAAAGTTTGGGATCAAGATCCCAAAAAGCCTGGATCAAGGTCCCTGGGATCTCAGTCCCTAACATTTGTAGATCTAGACCCCTAACATATGTGTTGTACATAATACAATGCTCCTAACCATAGGGGCCTACTAGCATTTTATGAGCCCCCACACCCAAACCTGATCTTGCTCCCAATCCCGCTCCAGTTCCCAATAACTTTGGTCGAATAAGTTGGACGATTGATGTGTTCCAAAGTTATATTAGTCGAGAATTATTTAAAACCAGGACTATCAAATTGATTGGTTTTAACTGATTAGATGGACTTAATAAAGTTGAAAATCTTATTCTTATAATATATTTAATTTTTTTAATTATTGTTTTCTTTTTTTTTTAATCTGACCTAATTGGTTGAACTAGTTTTGATTGGATCATACCTTTCAGCAGTTTGGTAGTGGTCCAGTTTTAATAATACTAGTCTGATCCAATTGGTTGGACTAGTTTTGATTGGATCATACCCCTCAGCAGTTTGGTAGTGGTCCAGTTTTAATAATACTAGTTTCGACACTAGTTTCTAGTTGATTCTGTTTCTTATGAGTATCGCCTGGAATAACAGGTTGTGGAGGATGTTCTTACCAAAGTTTTCGACATCAAAAGAGAAGAACTTCTGCAATTAGCCAAGGTATAAAATCAGAGAACCCCAGTAAACTAAGTGGTTACATGTAAAATCTGTCTCTATGGCTATGTAAAAGTTCATCGTAACCTAAACCATGTACTGTAACGAAAGTGTGCCTTGTATTTTTGGGCTGGTGGGGAAATGATGTAATATCTAATAATATTTGCGATGGTTTAGAGGCTACATATGTTGCATCCGGAGGAAAGCTCATTGGATCATCAAATATTTGTATTAGAAGCTCTATAAGTATTATAGTTTCAAAGCCTAATCTTGCTAGGCAGTATGGTAGGGTTCCTTGAGGAAATTTTTTATTAAACCTACGAAATAACAAATGGGATTGTATTCTAGATATCATTTATTTACTTTTAAGTACAAAGGGGTCAAAATTACTTTTAGCCCTCCATTGGATGTTAAGTCCAATAGATTTAATTGTCTCAACATTTGAGAAATTTTATTTTGGACGTTGTGTCCAATAAATGATACATCTCCATCCGATTTTACATGTAATGGTCAATTATGTTTGCGAGCTCTTTGTATCAAAAGTAAATGGTTTCATGGTATATATTTTTAAAACAAAACTAGGGCCCAAGATATAACAAAAGATGCTATCATTTTTTTATGCGTAGGGAACACATTTCCATAATTGTGTCCCGAGTTATAAAGCATTCATCTTAAAGATGGATGCAAATAGGTGGTACATCTAAAAATAGTTAAAACTAATAGTTGAAAATTTTCTTAATATAATTACTATTTTTAGTATCTAAAATCTATTTATTTTTTCATATTCGATCTCCATCTCAAAGAATGTCATTAAAATTTGGGTCAATAAATATATCTCAAAAGTAGTTTTTTTAGAGGGGGACTGATATCTACATGGACAAATGAAAACCGTGTCCTTCACTGATTTGATCCATTTTTATTTTCATGTTGGAAATGGTTGTCTAGCTCTACTTTTGGTGAAAGACACATCGCATTCACTGATGAGTCTTAGTATGTATGTGCATGACTGACATCAATCATTTTGCATGCATGTGATGAATGGTTTAGCATGAAAATGATCTCTTAAGTCCATTTTGAGCTTGTAAACCAACATTATAATGGACACTCTCAAAACACCTACTTGGTTTGGCTACATCTTCACACAGTTGCTACAATCCAAATATGTTAAATCAATTATGTTGGGCCAATTTTATGGTAGGAAAAGTATTAGGCGAGTCAGATGTCTGGTGTCTGTTATGGCTTTCAATGACTAAAATAAAATTCCAAAGTAGATTTGCAGATATGATGATCTTTGAATGACTAAAATAAAATTCCAAAGTAGACTACTTTTGGGGGGGGCAGTGGACCCGACCAGACCCGGGACCCGACCTCGGGTATGGGGATGGGTCCAAAATTTGGACCTGAAAGGTGGGGTCTGGGTCTCATCCTGAAGAATTTTAGCATATGTGGGTATTCATAAATGTTGCCAATACGTTTATTTTTAAGAACTAATAACAATAAGGAATGTGGGTATTTGTGGGTATTTATAAATGTTGTGCAATACTGTTAATGTTGTCAATAATATGGGTATAGGATATGGGTATATGATGGTAAAAAAAAAGGCCAGAAAAAAGAAGCTCATAGTAATAGGGTGGCAATGGACCCGACCAGTACCCAGACCCAACGGGTAGACTTGACCTCGAGTGTGGTTATGGGTACAAATTTTGGACCCGACCCGTTGCCGACTGTAACTATTTTTAAAGCTCAAAATTTATTTTTTATTTTCATATCATAATTGTTATTGTCGTGGTCTAGAGGATAGAGCTGCAAAATTTGGAATCTAAAATCCATTTTATGCGATGGGGTGTACTCGTTGCAACAGGCTCTGGGCGCATCTAAACCCTGAAGTAAGGTATCGTAGAGGCATAGGGCTCCATGGCTTGGACATTAATGCATTATGTATGCAGGTTAAGAGGTTAATGTTATCCATTGTGTTCCTGGCTACACAAAATATATCTTTCCGTTCTGTCATCTTATTCCATGCCATCTACAGACACACAAACTACGTACACACAAATGTGAGAAAAAGATGGTTTAAAACCTTGTCAAAAAGATGAAAAAGAAAAAAAAGCTACAGTTTAAAAAGAAAATTTAGTGGTAATAAATTTGAGAGAGAGAAAAGAAGCAAATATTTGATTTTATTTGTACTTCAAAAAATATTCCTGTGGTTATAGCAAATAAAAAAAAGAAAGGTGTAAACTATTAATGTATATAGAATTTAATTGTATTTACTAAAATATTACACATGTAAGCATTTTTCTAAAAGAGCCCCTTATCTGTAGATTGGACTGTGAACCCACAATGCATTTAAGAAGAGATATTTTGGGAATTCTAATTTTGTCTTGGACTTATACGCATTTAGGAATCATATTTTTTTATGGAATTAGATCATTTAAAGAGAGATATTTTAAGAGCGAAAAACTAATGTATTACAACCCTTCTAAACCAACAGTTAAGGGTCATTTGGGTACCTGAAAATTTATTACATGGAAACATATTACAAAGAAATATGAGATTTATGATGTTTAGTTATACTTTAGTAAGAAAATGAAAATTAATTACACAAGATTTCCTTAAAATATGTGAAATCTATTAGGCTCTCAATGGACATCGCTTAGGTTAATCAAACTATGCGCGTCTCTTACTTAAAATATCATCTATCTTCCCTACCATTTTCCTTTTCTTCTGTGCCCATCTATTCTCCTGCCATAACATCCTCTATCTTGCTTGACATTCTCCCTCTATCATGTGCCATCCATTCTCTCGCGATTCTCCCACATCTCTAAACTCCACTTATAAGTGTTTGCTCACATCAATTTCTACACTTACACATCCATTTTTAAAATCCCTCTATCCATTTCTCTTATAAAAAAAATAAAAATAAAATAATAATTGGTAATAAGAAATTACACAACACAATCACAATAAAAAAGTTCACACAACATAATCCTCATAAGAGATTAGTAAAAGCTCAATTGAAATAAGATACCTCTTTAGTCTCCTTCAATGCCTCAAAATTTTCTACTTCAATTATCAAACCTTTTAGTTTACTAATCAAACTTCTTTCCATTTTTTAACTACCATA